AAAAAAAAAATGGTTGCCTGTAAAGTCGTTTTTACGGGCGAAGATTTTACGTGACAACGTCTTTTTCTCGGTAGAATATTTATTGATATGAATATAATTAAATTGCACAATAGGAACAAGGAATTGAATGAACTAGTGCTGCGCGCGCGGCAGACCGATCATAGTTGAGTGGGAGAGAGACGCAAGGCATTCGGCGGGCCTCTCTCTCGTTCGGTGACTCATCGTAACGTTACCGAGCGTTACACTTTTTCATAAGTGACTCCCAGCCGCAACCTAATTTAAGACGTTGTCACGTCAAAAAAAAAAAAAAGTGTGATCCGTAAATTTTGTTCCGGCCGTGATATGTGTGAATTAGTATGTTTGAAACGCAAAGGACAAAAACTTTGCGTGGAGCTACGTTTAAAAATTGTTCTGTTTTACAATGATTGCGGAAAGAACGAAGCTCTTGGTAATCTGGGTTCGATTCTATTGAATTAGTTTTTTGCTCTGAAGGCACAATATTTATAATTTTTGAAATATACGGTTTCTCCCATTTATGGAACTTAAAACTTATGCCTATAAATGACAGTTTAGAAGACAAGATCTTTCAAAAAATTGTGTGTTCAATTTTCCTGGCATAACACACATGAATAAAATTTTAAATATGCAGTCCTTATGTCTTGTATAGTCTATTGAAATAACGTGATGAGGAGTCAATAAGATATTCAATAGTGAAATATATAAGGGGCAGGATGCCCCAACTCAATAGGAACCTATAATTCTTTCTAAATCGATGCATCATAATGAGAAAACCTAGGTTCCTGACCGATCGACCCATAAACCTTAAACCAACCTATCAAACGAACACTCGCGAACCAAAGGAAACCGATACATCACTCACACTCACAATCAACCCCAATTAACTCATTAGTTAATCACAGTCTAACCAAACCACTATTTATGAATACTAAATCGGGCAAAAAGAACTTAAACGGACCGGCTCAAAACAAGATGTTTGACAGTAACCGGGGCGCTGCCGGGTCGTATAATTAGTGTAGTATAAATAGGCAGGTGGTGAGTGACAAAGGACAGTGCACTTCGTCTGCTCACTGGAATACCTTGCCAGCAACATGAACATGTATATTACGGTAATTACTTCCTTCCGGATTATCTGTTTTGCTAAAATTGCTTTAACCTGTCTTCTTAGAGACAATTTCAAACGTGATTGTCTCTTGAGGAAGAGATAAGCTTATCGACTTGGTTCCTAATTAAGTTTGTGGTGTTTCCAGGTCCCCTGCCTGTTGGCTTTGGTCGCGGCCGCCTCTGCGATACCGCCTGCGACGCTGTCATACGTCCCCATTGCCACTATAGATAAAATTGTGAGTAAAACTATTTGGTGCGTCACATTTTTACAAGCCTAAAACTATATCTTATTGTTATTTACCTATGAAATATTTGTTTCAGCCGAACCCTAATTACGGATTTAACTACGCGGTAAACGACCCGTCGACGGGCGACAATAAGGCGCAGTGGGAGACCCGCAACGGTGACGTGGTGCGAGGAGCATACTCCTTGGTGGAACCTGATGGCAATGTCCGTCTAGTAGAGTACACAGCGGACTCTCTGACTGGATTCAACGCGGTTGTGAAACGTACAGGACCGAATGTACACTCCATAGCATTGCCGGTTGCCGCACCTATTGCAGCACCAATTACGCCTATTATTACGAAGCCAATCGCATCTATCGGACATGGACCCATCGGCCCCATTGGACCAATCGGACCCATTGGACCAATTGGACCATTCCCGATTGCACCCATCGCACCAATTGCTCCAGTTCACGAGATCACGCCCGTAGCGGAGGTTCATCACCAGCCCATCATAACCCCAGTGATCGACACCCCGCCAGTGATCGCTCCAGTGCCCACGTTGGACATCCTGCCCATCTACCCACTGCCCCCGGCTGGCCCGTGGGTGCATCTATCAGGCACTTCTTATGGACACAAGGGCAATATCGTCCGCCGCTGGGCAGCAGGTCCCATCTCACTAGACGGTAAAACGCTCACCATCAGAACCGTAAAACATCATTAACATAATTTAAGTTTCAATGTAAATAATTTCTATAACTAACTTCTCCGTGTATAGGTAACCTATTTAGTTACTCACGGCGCTAGTGTGTTCTTGCATATGTTTGTTCGTGCAAAAATACACATAGGTCATGTTAGAAGTTAAGTTTGATTGGTATAATCCAAAGCAACGAAGTGTACCTGAATAAATAAATATGTTTTTACGAAGGAACTTGTTTATTGGGTCAGTGTGTGGTGCATGAAATGAGTTCATTTAGTTATGCGTGCCGAGTGCTCAATGACACGCACGTTAGCTTGTAGTGTAAGCGTTTTCAATACATAACGACCCAAAGCGGTTAATTACTTGTTTCGCAAAACAATATCTGTCCAAGTATCCGGATTTCCATTGTAATTAGATGTTATATAAATAACACTTACGTTGTAATATATTACAAGACTTCGATTATTCGCAAACATACATACATAAGTTGACGGCTTTAACAGATTAATTAGCAAATCGCTGCGAGTAGTCAGGCGTGTTAAGGCCATCAATAATAGTAGTTATCTAAATCTTACATGAATACTTCTGTGCTGTAATCTACAGTCTACACCTATACCAATCTTTACAATGTAACCAACATAACAGCATAATTGAGTAAGGGTCAATTTTTCCAACGCCAGATAAATTTTATCAGAAGAATAACTTTGTTTATTTGACAATTCTTCCATACTGTCAACTGTCAAATGTCAACTTTATTATACAGTTAAAAATTACCTGGTGATTGCAAAATCGACCGTAAAGACAAGGATACACTAGGAGACATATATCGGCGACATATCGAGTGAAGTCAGCCGATATTGCCTGACATATACAGTGACAACGTGCAACTTATGTCCGTAGGCACGTTGATGTTGCCAGACATGTCGACCAAAGTCTGGCAACGTCGCGCTACATCACCCAACTTTGCTGGCGACACGTGTCGCAGGACATTATGTCCCTTAGAGTATCCTTGGCTTAAAAGTAATATTTTTTTTTGTAAAGATGAGATTAAATTTTAAATTTCACCATTTACATACACACATTAAAGTAAATTAGGTAATAAGATAAGAACAGGGTGGTATTTAAGACCTAAGAGTCTGATAGTCGCTCTCGCCTCACCTAAGGCAGGAGAAGTCATTGGATGATTTTCCCACTCAAAATAAAAGTACAAATAATGTACTCACCGGATTATTGTCTTCATCAACGTCATATTCTTCTCGCTGCACCATCATCAGCTTACCGCTGGCGTTGATCACCTGAAGATATTAACATTATCATCATCATAACATCACGCCTTTTATCCTCGAAGGGGTAGGCAGAGGTGCACATTACACCACTGTACAACGTAACTCCCATTTTTCACTATTTATGTTATGAGTCCCATGTAATAGGGGGTGAGCCTATTGCATATTAACTTTATATTGGATGAAAATGACAATTACGTATATTGTGGATGTTGAAGATAACAGTCTTTTCCTATACCTATAAGGTAAATTACTTCTGGGGTCAGGACTGGGCTCCCGGTAAATCTCCCTCACACGGCGAAACACGCGGATATTTACGTAATGTATAAGAAACTTCATCATTAAGCACCTGAAAAGTACTTTTCTTTTGTTCCAACTTTTATGTAAGACCATCTATGCGCCACGAGATTTGTCACATATCGTTTTATGTAGAAGTATGTAAGAAGCAACATGTTGTAAATGTGAGTGGCGAGCTCGTACCAAGGAGTCTGGCTGGCGCTGCACGGGCACGCAGACGGTGGAGGCGCGCACGCGGTGCGGCGGGTCCTGCAGCCGGCACAGCTGCGCCGCCACCACGCACGCCGGGTGCGACAGCGCCGACACGTCCACCGCCTGCACGCAGCGCATCTCTATCGTCCCCGCTGCGTACCATACACATTCACGGCATTCAATAAATATTCATGTCATCATCACACAATTTTGGACGACACTTTTCGATAATAACTTAGGGCGGTTGTTACTGGTCAACGCCCCACCCACCGACGCTGGACCTGACGTTCGTATAGTTTCACAATACAACTCTCTGAATCATTTTACAAGTTATCGATTGAGAAGAAATTGGTCATCAAAATATTTGAACTGTTTTTGATAAATTCTAATTACATTCAAATAGAACTTTGGAGACAATTATAAAACTATGTATCTCAAAATATGCACTTACTATTATCAATGCAGTTAAGTTCATATATGGTGACGAGGGCATCAGCTCCGAAGACCACGAGCTGGTCATCCAGGATGTCGAGCACGAACACTTGCGATTGTACACGAACTATCTTCGCGAATCTATTGTCCAACTTCGCTTCTCGGGGATAGAAGCGAATCTCGTCGTGACCGTCTAGAATGCTGTAGCAACCTGAGAAGGAAATATTATATTTAGGTTAAGTATACGTTAAACTATTTTAGTTAGAAATCTCATCTAGTTTTTTTTATTTGACGTGTAAAAGTGTTTTGCAAAATAAATTAAATTGTTTTCCTTAAAGTAAGAATGCAAAAAGCTATCCATTTTCATGACGGAAATTTAATGAACAAAACTAAAACCCTACTTCTTCAGAGGATTACCTATGTATTTCCCATGGGCCCAGTTTTAATAGTTAAATCATTGTTAACATGTGCATTAGTTATACTATTTTTAACTTGGGAACCTCAATATGTTCAGATATTTACGTTCGATTTACCTTAACTTAGACCTTAGTCAATCATGGAATAGTAATAAAAACTTAGATGAATTATATTTTGTAGAGACAGATTTTTTTAAACGTTACCCCACCTTTGTTTTTTTTTCTGTATCGTGGGTGCGTTTACAAATATTCAAGTTCACATACACAATGACACCCAGACCCGAAACAACAATTTGTGGATCACACAAAGTGTTGATCCGTGCGGGAATCGAAACCGCGACACATTGCACGGCAGCCGGTTGCCCAGCCACCGCACCAACCGTGCAGTAAAAATAATTATTAAAGAAAGCGATCATATTGTTGCCAACCTATAACAATATAATCCCTCCACCACAGCATGCCGCCCGTGACGACGAAGTCCTTCTCCTGCGCCTCGTTCCCGAACAGCTTCCAGCGCCGCGCCACGCAGTTGTAGTGCGCCAGCCCCGTGCGGCCCGCCACGCATACGTTCACGCCCGCCTCGTCTATTGCGCTGTACTGAACGAGATATTACTTGGTTAACATTGGTATTATCAATTTAGTCTGCTAGTTACATGCGGAAACATTATTTGACAGCAGAAAAATACATTAGAACTACTTGGAACCTAAATAACAAAACCTTATTTCGATTTATCTAAGTCTAGCATGGTGGGTTAGTTTTATTACTTTTTTATTATTATTTATGAAGTAGTGTTTATATTTCATCGTAGGTCATTTTCTGAAGCCATTTCAGTTTGTATGACAAACCGTGCCTCGTAATATCACTAATGTCGGAATACTCAAACATTACTCAATTTTAAGTCATCCTTAACTATAATTCTGTCCCTACAAATTCTTTATGAAATGACAGAGATGGCACGATATTTGAGCACGACTTAAAATTAAGTAACGTTTCAGTATTCGGGCATAACACTATTTGACTAAGCAACTAAGTAAAACAAAGAACATCTACAACACTTACCCTCAACGGCCAATTGGTAGCAATATAAGTAGCCGGTAGAGGCAACACTATCCACTGTTTCCTGCACTCGTTGTCGTCAACAAACTCCCTATAGTTAGTACTACTCTCATATTCCAACGTAGGCTGGTCGGGTAGACCGTTCTCCGCCTGGTATATTTCTGAAGACGAGTCAATGATTGAGATTTTTGTACGTTTCGTTAGATTGTCTTCTAAGTTCACATACAGTTTGTCATCTGCTTGTAAGTAGAGGTGTCTTTGATTGCTCTGAAAAATTAATAAAATAAATTTGGTATTAATACTTGTTTTCACGTTCGATTAATTATGTCGGGATTGGGAATTTAGTAAGAGAATTGTGGATAGTTTATAATTATAGGTTATTCGACCAAATGTGAAGATAAAACAATGTCAACACTTTTTTACAACATCACTAGAATATCAGACAGATACAATTCGACGGCAGCGCCATCTACAATATACAACACTTTAATTATTAATAAACATAAGAAACTACAAATTAATACAATATGCCCGCGTTCAGAATAGTAATATACGAAAGTGGTGGATGAATAGATGTAAACTATCAGAACTTACCATGCAAGGGTTTACACTCAGTGGACTCTTCACAAAATCCAGTTGTATGATGTTAGTGCTGGAGTCTCCTTCCACTTTCACCATCCAGAGCTGGTACCCTTCAGTCGCCCATTCCTAGAACAAATAGAACATGGATCCAGTATATGTTTTGAAAATAGGGTAGTTTCCTAAATTTTATAGTACGTCTAGTACATTAATTTTAAAAGACACGTATTTTTTCTTTTCCCAAAAAATTAAATACTTTCGACGATATATTAATTTGAAATATCTTGTGACGTCACAGCGTGACAAGATATATTGTAGCACGTTATGACGTAACAACCGCCCACTCCTAAACTTAGCGCCATTTTATCTAAATATTGCAACTTAATACGAGAAAATAAAAAAATACGTGTCTAATATTTTTTCATTATCTAACTGACGGACTAATTAGATTTTTAATTTTGATACCCTGACCCAATTGGCTACACAAGGTACAACAACAAGGCTCTACAACACACAAAGAGCGAGACGCCAAGCATAATTGAAAATGCAGTGCAGTCCAACATTTTCATTTTTAATTTAAGAGCATACATTAAAAAGTAGATGATACGAATCAAGTATACCAGAGTTTCATATTTGGCGTTTAAAGGATAAATAACTTGCGACACGTGTCGCTAGCGTTGGGTGAATTAGTGCAACGTTGCCGGACTTTCGTCGACACGTCTGGCAACATCAACGATTCTGTAGACATAAGGCGCGCGTTGTCGCTTTATAATAATACTAGCGACCCGCCCCGGCTTCGCACGGGTGCAATATGCATGTATTATACATACAAACCTCCCTTAAGAATCACTCTATCTATTAAAAAAAACCGCATCAAAATCCGTTGCGTAGTTTTAAAGATCTAAGCATACATACGGACATACAGCGAAAGCGACTTTGTTTTATACTATGTATTGATGTCGAGAGAAATCAGCTGGCTTCACTTGACATGTCACCGTAATACATGTCGTGGGACATTTGTGTATCATAACATAACATCACACCTTTTATCCCCGAAGGGGTAGGCAGAGGTGCACATTATGCCACTGTACAATGTAACACCCACTTTTCACTATTTATGTTACGAGTCCCATGTAATAGGGGGTGAGTCTATTGCCATATGCTTGAGAATTTTTTAAAAACCCATTAATACTTTGCCCGGCCCGGCAACCGAACCCGAGACCCCTTGCCCGGCAGTCGCACTTGCAACCAATCGGCCAACGAGGCATTTGTGTATCCTTTATCAAAAAAATATTTCAAGAGACATTCTTTAATTTTTTTTTAAATTTCAAACAAGAGAAATTTCATTAAAATACTCACTAAACTAGACACAACCAAAGGATTGGACTTGCCAAGGTCCTGGTTGAGTCCGTAGTCCCAGGCCAGCGAGCACATGAGCAGGGCACCGAACGTGGACCACACCGACACCCCGCCTCGCTCCCAACTCACTGCTACTGCACGACCGTCTGCTGTCCATCTGTAGAGTATTCCTTAATACTTAAGAAATAGAGTTCTTTATTCGATAGCATATTAATGTTTAAAATAACGACTGAATACAACGAGAACGAAAGAATCACGTAGTTATTTATGAACGGTGGCCAGCACGTCAACTGATCCTTTTCCGTCTTTCTCTATTACATCTTAAACTTTATTGTATTGACATAAAGTCGCAAATGTAATAAATAATTTTGAGTAGGTTGATCTGTTGACCACAGAACATTTCTAGGTTTCCCGATTTAGTAATCTGCACTATCTATCGTGTACTCTATTTTGGGAAATAAAAACATTATACTAAGGTATATTTTACAAATTTTAGAGATTAGAAATCGCTCCGACTCAGATTGGTACAAAATTCCAGTGTTCTTCAATACTACCTCTTACGAGACAAAGTGCAATACATTACCTCATACACTTGACAGGTCCAGGGTCGCCGGGAAAGTCTTTGGAGCTGAGCACCATCGTATGTGACAGCTCCAAGCCACCCGTCGCCTCGTCTATCGTGAACACGTCCACTTGAGAACTGGAAAATTTCACACCATGTATTTTATTAGTAGGATCTGATTAATTATTACAGTAGTGATTCACTTAGGTAAATAGAGATCTGACAAGTGGAAATATCATCATAATTTATACTCACTTTTTCCTGCCAATAGCAATTAATCTAAACTTGTGGTTGACTCTTGCGCAAGTCGCGTCATCAATGCCAGGAGCCCAAATTCCTTGAACGGCCTAAAAAACAGAAAAATATGAAAAATTTTAAATTATCGTTATATGCTTGCCATGGTACACCAATCCAATAACCATTGTATAGATGATATTATTTTTAATATAAGGTTACTAACGTAAGCTGTTCGAGGATGCTCAACTAGTTTCAGCTATGGCCGGGGTTCATAATCAAGAGCAAATTGTGCGACGACAGACGTCTCACAATATCCTCAAACAGTTAGCGCAAGTCAGCCGTATATTTAAATCATTAAGTATGGTCTCACGATAGTTATTAAATTACAAAACTTAGGCTTTCTCTGCCTACCAACACCATCACACAGGGAGTCTGGCTGGGACAATAATAAAGTGTAATCTATATAGGAAAACTACGGAGGTATAGACCCCGGCACGAAATATGACCAGACTTTTCGTGGAGGGGACAAGTTTGCGCATTGTATTTTTTCGTATTATTTTATAGTTATTGTGATCATCACTGACGTAAGTAAACGGAAGAATAAGAAAAAGAATTTGTGTTGAAAGGTTAAGGGAGGTATAATCTGTACAGAAATATCAATGTTATTTCCGTATCTAATGTCAGATTTTAGGTGTCCTTTGGCTTTTGCTCAAAAAGGCGGGAATCGTAGCGAAGCGAAGCACTTTATATAATTAGAAATTATAAGCCCAGGTTTCCTCACGATGTTTTCCTTCACCGTTTGTCACTGGTGTCTAGATAATCTAAGAAAGTACATATAACTCGGAAAAAGTCACATTGGTACTTGCCGTTGGTAGGTTTCGAACCTGTGCCCTCATGCATGAGAAGCGGGCGTCTTAACCTCCGGGCCTACCCGACATTTTTTTTTTGACGATATGGTATGACGCAGCGAATTTGCCCCCACTATAAAAACTTTGGCCATGGTTCGTGCCGGGTATTATTTAGCACACGAATTGAAACGAGGGGAAAGTATAGCGTGCTCAGGTACTAGTCGTTAATGTACACAACACACGCTTCAGCTTCTTACCATAAGATCTGTGTCCAAACATATCTGGGATTGTCAAAATACGTTTTCATTAGAGACATACGAAATTAGAGGATAATATGTATGTTCAGTTTGTGTAAAATATTGCATTAAAATTCACTTATATACTGGATAATGTACAGTTGAATATACTTTTTTTAAAGTTGTAATATAAACAGCCACAATAACCACATTACTATCTACAGGTACCATTTTTCAGTTTCTTTTTACTATAATTTTAGACGTTTCCATTTATTTTTCGTAAATAATAACAAAAAATCATTCATAACATACTCACATTAGGATCAAACTTGAGATTAGGAGCCGTGAGATAGGCGGCCCGTCCGTCATTGAGAGTTATCCCAAACCCACACACCAGCGGCGAGTATTCTATGTCATTTACATGTGTGTTGTCTTCTAATATCGGCTCCGCTGTAAATTGATTCAGTACTGGTGAACTGAATTATTTTGTGAAGAATTGAATAATTCTTTTTGTATTGAATAGTCCAATTATCTAGGCTAAATGTTACAAAACATCTTGCTAGGATCAATGGGAGCAGAGCAGCGAATAAAACAACGTAGGAGTAGAATAGAATAGTCAAGTATAAAAAAGGACGAGACATTCTTTCATATCAGATATATGGACAGATAATGTATTTCCGTGTGTGTTTAATGTCAATGTGATTGTCGCATAAAGCTGTAATGATAAATTGATTGCTAACGTATAACACTAATAGAACTACAGAAATCTAGTCTTACTAGTCTTGCTACTTACTTATGCTTCACTACATAGTATAAAACAAAGTCGCTATCCGCCGTCTGTCTGTCTCTATGTATGCTTAGATCTTTAAAACGACGCAACGGATTTTGATGCGGTTTTTTTTAATGGATAGAGTGATTTTTAAGGAAGGTTTGTATGTATAATACATGCATATTGCACCCGTACGGGCGGGGCGGGTCGCTAGTACCTAATAATATAAATGCGAAAGTTTATGGAGATGTATGTTGTTAGTGTTTGTTTCTCTTTCTCGTCAAAACGGGTAAAGGGATCGGGATGGAATTTGGAACAGGGGCAGTTTATGATCTGGAATAACGCATAGGCTACTTTTTATCCTACGATTACGCGGGCGAAACCGCTAGCATAAGCCATAAGCGAAATGTATTTAATTTGAATTTTCACCCATTTCAGGTACATCAGTAAGCCAATAACATCATAAGTGTGGGAAGGCCATGCTTCGGCAAGAATGGGCCAGCTCGACCGGAGTGATACCACGGCCTCATAGAAAACCGACGTGAAGCAATGCTTGCGTTGTGTTTCGTCGTGTGAGTGGGGTTACCGGAGGCCTAATTACCCTCCCCTTCCCCAATCTCCCCAATCCGTGAATCCCCAACGATCCTCAAACTCCTAATCCCCAAAAGGCCGGTAACGCACTTGTAACGCCTCTGGTGTTCCAGGTGTCCATGGGTGACGCCGATTGCTTACCATGAGGTGATCCGTCTGTTCGTTTACCATAAAAAATACAACCTGTAGTAAATAAAATTTTATTACCTTTAGAAACCTGTTGGTTGATGGAAAATGGTATTCTTCCAAGGTCGAGACAGTAATCCCGGTTCTGCGTACCATCCCACCGGTATCGCAGTAGATGGGCTCTGGTGGTACATACCAGAATCTCTGTGCCAGATATACAGCACATCCGTGTGATCTGACCATCCCATACTAACACCTCTTTTAACTGGAACGAAGATTAAATAGGTTTTGTATTAAAAATTACATGGAAATAGCTGCAGGTACTTCGCTATCATCATATAGGTATCATCGCTTACCACTAGGGGAGATAGTATGTAAACGTCGACCCGTCAAATAAAAAAAAAATATTGTTAAATTATGTTTGCCGATATTATCTGCAGTTTGAAATTGAGTCTTGAGTTTGACAATTTGGTAATAACCTCGTGTATTATTATAATAACACTAACCATATCTTATCTTATACTATTAAACATATAAAGCTGAAGATTTTTTTGTTTGTGTGCTTGTTTGTTTGTTTGTTTGAACGCGCTTATCTCAGAAACTACTGGCCCGATTTGAAAAATTATTTTTATTTTGGATACTCCATCTATAGAGGAAGGCTACAGGCTATAAAACATCACGCTTCGACAACAGGAGCCGAGCAGAGCGGGTGAAACCGCGTGGAAGTAGCTAGTTAGTTAAAAATGTAAGTAAGTTGCATACGGCTCAGCATAATATAGAAGACATGAGCAGTAATCATAATTATAAAAAATTGCATAGCATTTCATAAAAGTATTTCCAGACTTGCTAACTTAATTTAAATATTATTCGAAAATCGGAAGTGTGAAATAGCAGTGAAAGGCATCGGTATAAGACAGCTACATACATAACTAAGCTCACGCCTATCGCCTATGGGGGTAGGCAGAGACTATGGAACTTGTATTCTTACATACCTCTGTCGCTTCCTCAACAATCATAAAGAAAGAAGAAAGCTGCTAATTACAATAAATTGTACAGTATTCAAATCTTTATTGCACCATCATATAAATTACAATAAATTAGCTTTCCTAAACGAAACAAGCATATACCGTGAATAATGAATAGTAATTTTTTTATCATTGGCTATGTGGGCCAGTACCATAAATTATACATATTACATACTTCATAAGTTATCTCTCGGTTGAATATGTACCTAAACATCAGCATGGTAATAGGAAATAGTTTGATAGTGAGAAAGTACCTCATTTATGTATGTATGTATGTATGTACAGTGTTATTGATTTTAATTGTTTTACATATTTTTTACTGTTCTTTTTTTGTGTTATTGTAAACAAATAATTCTTTATCTCTTGATCTTTCAGAAAAATTAGTAAATTATACCAGAACCGAATTCAGCTTCTCAATACCGAGGCCAACATTTCGGTTAGAAAAAACTAGTAGATCCTATAAAAACAATATATTTTATGAAAGTATTATGAAAATATTCGTAGTTTAACTCATTATAAACACGTACCAGAGTAATTTTCAAAGATGGTATGACCTCCTTGACAAATAACTCCGCGGAGTCTCGACGTAAACTTGCAGTGGGTGGGTCATATTGTTGGTACGCAGTCTGTTCACTATGAGCTTCTACATTGTACAATATTAGATGCCCTTCTGAGGTCTGGAATAAATAAATTTGTTTAATTATGTTTTTAATATAAGCCAATGTATTTATTTTAAAAAAATGTTAATAATTATTACATTATTGATAAGAATTGAAATGAAATAAATATATACAACTTAAAATATAAATTTGTTTAATTATTTAATATAAGACTTATTAACCAGCAACCATTATATTATATTTTCTAAATATGTAAATATGTATTTTGATGAAATTATACACAATGTTAGATAAAAAAAATATAAATGGTAGCTTGACATTGAGCTGATACCATTACTTGATATTTTATGTTACTTTGTTAAGCCTTTGATATTCTGTGATAATAACAATACATATCGGAAGGTTTACCAGCATATTGTTCTAATTTTACATTAGATTTTCCTACAACAGATGCTTTTGAGAAAATTATAGATTTATCCTTATTTAGTTTTATTTCAAGGTAAAAAACTAGCCAAAATATTAATGTAGAATGGTTGCCACCATTAACTTACCCAATGCCAATGTGGCAAAAAAAGTAGAATTAGCTATCATCCATTTTCAGTTAACTTTTAAAGATTACCTATATACTTACTACTAAAGCATTTCCATACTTACAGAGATGCATATCATAGAGGAATCAGGTTTCCATTCCACTCCGACATTTACTCCAAGTCTTTGAAGAGATTCTGTACTCCTCTTGTGGTACACAATGGGGACACTTGGCTGAAACAATATACATCTTGAAATAAAACGGTAAATAAATAAAATTCATTGAAGTAAGGTAGAGCTAATGCCATACATTTGGTACTCTTTGCCAGTCAATATTAGGAGCAAGTAGATGAATAAGTCTAGGTACTGTGTGGTATTCTAAAAGAAGATATACAAAGAGTAGTAGATTGGAGCCAGAAGAATAGACTGCATTTCAATGTGGACAAATGCTCCATGATGACATTTACTCGTGCAAAAAGACCAACACATTATGAGTACACGGTGGAGTCTATACCAATGACGCGGGCTGCTCAGGTTCGAGATCTGGGAGTCATAATGACACCAGACTTAACCTTTCGGGAACACATTATTAAAGTATGTAAAAAAGCTTACAGGAACTTAGGGTTTGTACTGAGGCAGACACAGGGGTTTAATAAAGTATCTACGCTCAAGGTACTGTATGATGCTTTGGTCAGGAGTCACCTTGAACATAGTGCAGTCATTTGGGCGCCGTATGAAGCGAAGTACAGTGTCATGTTAGAGCGAGTTCAGAATAAGTTCACAAGGCACTTGTACTTCAAACTGTACGGTGTATACCCTTTTTATCCATTAATGTACCCGACATTATTTGTATTGGGTATGGTGGGGTATAATGAGCTAAGAGTGCGCAGGGAATTTACTCTGGGGGCTTATGTAGTGAAGTTGTTGCGAGGTGTGACACATAACCCGGGAGTACTGCGCCACCTGCAGCTGTGCGTACCTGACCGGTACGTGTGGAGGCGACATCGTCCGCCACTGCTTGCTGTACCTGTGGCCAGGACCAATCTGCTGGCCAAGACCCCGCTCACACGAACCATTCGCATGGTGAATGAGGTTCATAGCCGTATAGATATATTTTCCGGAAATACGAGTGATCTCATTAGAGTATTATTACAAATAAGTTCCTATATTATATTGTAATAGATTTTTGTGATCTCATAATATTATTGTTTATCCTTTTCTTTAATTATTGTTTATTATAGAAGCAGTAAATTTATTTTGTTTGTTAAGTGGTCAATTTTAATAGTTGTTAAGTGAAATAGTGTATGTCTTTAGGTGTTATATTTAAGATTTAAATTTTATGATTACCTGTACATATAAATAGTTACTTGTAGTTTTAAATAATTACTATAACAGTTTTTATTGTTTTTATCCGAATTGTGTAGGTATATAGATTAGTATAAGGCACAAATTAAAATTTAATTTAATTAGATAATAAGAAAATACTGGAATAATTAAGTATTTGTAAGACTGATGGCCACACTATCGTATTGGATTAGTCTGTAATGGTAGTTGTTAGCATTAAATAAATAAATAAAATAAATAAATAAAAGATTTTTTTATGGAATAGGAGGCAAACTAACAGACTGATAACCTGATGGTAAGCAATCAGCACCATCCATGAACTCCATTGAAATGAACGCAACACCAGGAGTCAAAGGTGCATTGCCGGCCTTTTAACCCGTTGAAATCCATCCCCTAAATTTGGTCATACAAAAGTAGTCTCTAAACATTAAAAATAAGGTCTATAATGTAATGTAATATTAGTGAAAAGCGATCACCGGTGACCGCTTGGGGATTTATGGGTTAAAAAGGAATACACTCTTTTCTTGAAGGTTCGGAAATGCCGCCGACAACAGATCATTCCAGTCTTTGCACATTTTTCTTCTGATAGATCAGTAAATGTGAGGAACAGACTAGTGATTAATTAAGTTTAAATGTGTATTAAAGTAAACATTCTTGGAAAATACATATATACAATGTCTGATTGTTATGATATGAACTTGTGAACATAAACAAACACTATAGGTATTGTTAAATAAATTATTTACTCTCTAACAATAATTAAACACGTAAGAAGAACTCAACTGAGCATGTACATTATGTTAATATTTTTTTATTGATAACAAAACTACAAGTTTAGATTGATTGATAAAAATAACACTTAGGTGATTTGTAATCATTTCTAAGATCAGATTTGAAAAGCTATTCGTGAAACAAGTTAGATCGAGTGCAATTAATACAATTTTAGTGTGCTGTCTATTATCAAAGATGGAATTAACGTAGTTCGTAGTTTAATGTTTACACAAAATTATACCCACCTTACAAAACCATACAGCTAAACAGTCATCACTCAAGGAAGCAAACAATATCTTGTCTCTATTCGACACGATTTGCTTTATAATTTGATTATCTGCTCCCAGATTTTTCAGAACTTTGGGCCAACCTATTGGAAAGTACATTTTGCTTGTGAAACATTTGCCACTCTTGTGAGAAATATGATTTAACAATTGACACTTTTGTCAGATTATGTTACTAATTTTTAAGCAAATTAAAAAATTCTGATATGAATTGATATTACAAATGTATTATAGCTCCTCCAACAAGAACGTCAACAAAATTCGCCACTGCTGTAATGTCAATAAATTAATGTCATCGTCATGTCACTCAGTAGCATACATGAAGTTTGGGCATTCGTTCAGTACCTAACTATTTCTAAAGTTAAATAAAATATTTGTTAAAAAGCACACGATTAGAGCTAGGCAATTTGTCGGATAATTACTCAAAATAGATAAGTGAGTAAATACAGGTTATTTGTCCACCTTTTTAGATACTAATACAATACGATTGTGATACCAATACCACTTACCGATTGAACAAAATGTAGTTTTAAAATAAAAATATTTATTTATAAGACTGAGAGAATTTTCAGACATGACACGACATGGAAGTTATAACAACACTGTCAACACTCATTCAGTGTACCTAGGAATTTTAGTAAAATTTTATAGCCTTGGCTAGATCAAGAACATTGGAAAGGGGCTAGACCTACCAACATTATACCAACATAAAAAAATGTCGCAGAGAACCTAACGGGTAACTGGGGCTCCTGCTCGACGTGCAGGAGAAGGAACGGGGTGGTTTTTAGTCAGTAAGAGTCTGACACTCCCTCTCGCCTCACCCAGGCGGGAGCAGTCATTCGATGATTTTCCCCCCTTAAAAAAAAAAGACCTATCAACAGACTATGCATACCTAACGAAACTTTGAAATGATAATAATCTATTGGTAGTAAACAACAAATATTTATACACTTTTCCTATCCTCTATGAAAATGCCATAAATTATGTAATCCTATCCTACGAAACTGTCTTTTAAACCTTCCTTTGGGGTCAACTCCCATTTAAAAATCTGGCTGTCAAAATACGGGCCGCATGTTTGTCAATAATGGACCTGTATGCGGCCTGCACGGGTCGCATTATTTCATCAGTTTTATAAATAGCAACACTATTTTTCTGGACTGGGGTTGGCTCAAATGACTGTTTATAAAAATATGGTTGGAAATAATTACTTAGCAACACTGAGTTTTTAGCAATTCTATGCTAACAACAATAAATTCTTAATATTTCGTTTATTCTAATAAAAAATGGAAAATAATCGTGATCATCGACCGGAAATTCTTAATTTGTGGTGTAATTAATAAGATGTAATGGTTTAACTTTGTTAAATTCAGAACATTTCAACAATATGTCTGAAGACTCGAATTCCATTTCGAACAACCTCTGTATACCTGAGGATGCATTTGAACAGTTTCAAGCAGTTTCAATGTATCAAGAAAAGGAATACATAACACTGCCTATCCAAGCAATAGTGCAACTTCAACAACCGGATCCCGGCGAAAATCGCACCCGTTGCGACACTGAGACTGTTGTAAGTACTGAAAACGAAGTAAACACCACAGTCAACACTGAAAATGTAGAATCTTCACTCTGCCAAGAGACTTTAGGTGTGTCTTCTTCGGAAAACTCTGAAAACATCAACAATTTTGATGTAAGCAAAAACAACCTCAATCGTAAGCGTAAACCTCAATCAGCCAATAAAAGAGGTAGAAAAAAGAAAGAAACAACGGCAAAGAATATCAGCGCAGACACCAGTAATGTAATCATTCTTGGTACAAGAGAAAGTTGTGATAAACAATTAAAACCTACTGAAGAAACAACTGTTGCTAGTACTCTACCTCAAAAAAGAAGAAGAAAGTCGGTATCACAAACCCCTGCCGGTACAGAAGTAGTACCTTCAGGAATGGATCAGGATAGTTCTGTTATTCCTAGTCCTCCATTAAGTTCTGACCTTGACAACTCGGATTTACTTTCTGTCATAGTTAGGAGAAGGCGAGGCAGGCCAAGAAAAGTGTCTGTTACAAGTGAGCCCGTCTCTAAGCCACCTTCTAGTGACAATATTTGTGATCCAACACTGCCACGGAGGAGAGGTAGATCAAAAAAACAGAAAAATGATTATAGTCTTTCCAGCCCCACAAATGAGAAGAACAATCAATTAGGAGATGCAACAAACATAGATTTAAATAATTCACAGTCTACTGATGTATTAAAAAAAGAACAAGTAGAAACTAATATTGTAACTAAAACTACAGGATTTGATACAAAATGTGAGAGTGACAACTCTACTAATGATGATGACATTTGTTTAAGTAAATTGAAAACACTTGAAAAATCAGTTCATAATGATCAAAAAGGTAAAATATGTGTTAAAACTGACAATAATTCTGGAAATACGTCTGATCTGTCCAAGCTGTGCAGTAAAACCGAAAATGAAACTTCTTCAACCAAAATTGACACTGATTATGAGAGTTCTCAGGATTTTCATAGCAAAGACATCATAACCATCAAGAAGTCAGATTTTATTGAATATGATACGTCAAAATCTGAAATTAATAGCACAGTTAGTAAAATTAATAGAACAATAGTCTCACCTACGGAAGATGTTGATGTAGAAAGCATCAATGACAATTCCTTCACAGAACAGAATAATAAAATGCCGGTAATTACACATGTTGAATACAATATAGACAATATCATCGACAAGGAAATTACAGCTGCTGAAGAAAATTCTGCACTCGTGGAAGACACATCTAAAAGACCTGTTCGCAGAAAAGTTCCCAAGTTACGTTATGATGAAGGATCTGATGAAGATCCATTTGCTAATATTGAGCTATCTGACGATGATGATGAGCCACTAAGGAGGAAAGGTAACAGGTATTATTCTGATGATGAATATGTACCTGGTAGAAGAGGAAATAAGGATATTGATTCGACAGATAGTGAAGTTCAAGCTCTATTAGATGAAAAGGTGAAAAAACAAAAGAAGAAAAGGTTGCGTAAGAAATCAGAAAACCGGTCACCACGAAAAAAAGGAAAACAAAGACAATTGAACCAGGATACAGAAAGTGATATAGAAATATGTGTACCAGCTACTACTTCACAGTCAAGTGATGTTGAGATATGTTTGCCAAATGTAGCGAGTGGAACTAATGATGAAGCTCAATCACAACCAACCACTAATTCAAGTACTTGGGGATGTAGTAATGAGTTTGAAAATTTCATTGCTAAAAAAATACAGGGTACTAATATACAAATAAAAAAAGTTTCTGCCACAGATTCTGCTGAGAACAAGACTCTCGAAATACCAGTTATCGATCCAGATGCCAAGAAAAGTGTAGAAATGTGGTCACAAACTAATAAAATAGACACTGCATCTACTTTTGTTCAAACCAAATCGCCATTTGAAACCAAGATGAAGACAAATGTTGATTTAACATCGGAGCAGTCCAAAAGTGCATGTGCATTCCTTAATGGTATTGTGAAAATGACTTCAGAGTTGGGTACGTTAATGATAGAAAAGTCTGAAGATTTCATGAAAAAGAAAATTAATACAACTCATGTTACCGATACTATGAAAATGGATTACTGTGTACGGAAATCATTCTTATTATTTAAATTAGCTAAACATAATCTTGAAAAGATGGAGGAGGATTTAGAAAGTCAATATGAAAAATTTTTAGAGACCCATAATTTAACAGCCTGTAGAGAAGTAGAAAAAGAAATAGCACCCTCAACAAAAATAGATAATAGTGACAGTGATTGTGAAATTGTGGACGAACCGGTTGTATCGACCCCTGTAAATAAATCTAAAGTGAATCCTAAATTCAATCCCAAAACAGTGTTTCTCAACAAAGAACTTTCGATTAAAATTGCAAAAAAACCAACTGAAACTAAAACTCTTGATATCAAGGGGCGCCATACGGTTTGGATTAACGACACAGTAATGGTAAAAAAAGTAAAGCCTACTCAGTCTTTTTTAGCCCAGGACAGCCGAAATAAAAAACCTCCTGACAATAAAATCACCACAAAAATGGTAAGTGATTTTTTCAAGAAGTATTATCGCCAGAAAGCTATTTCTATTTGTGCCCCTTTTATAACCACAAACTGGTTGAATATGAGCCAAGAATGTGTGTGTAATTATTTTGTTGTTAAACAAAATCAATTTAAAAATAATGACTATTCTGCAAATGTTGCAATTAATGCAGAAAATAATACTAGTACTTCAGAAAGGACTAATGATATTAAACCATTATCCAACATTGATGAAGTAACATGCCCCGAGACACTTCTTCAATTATGTATTCGGATTGCAAACAATGAGATACATAATAAAATGGCTGTAATAGAAACTAGTCAACACATGCAAAATGAACTTCCAGATGAGAAAAACCAACCAGAAACATTATTCCGACTGTGCCTGAGGGTCCTGACTTGTACAGACGATTACATGGAGGAAAGAAGTGCGACACACTTAAAAATCATAAACCCTTGTGCTACATCAACTGTACCATTTCTTAAAACTCTCTGCTACCAAAAAATGGTCGCGCTATTGCATTATTTAGCTAGAAAGAATCCTAAGGAACATAGAAAACTTGAGGAAACAAGGTTCAGTATAGAGGAAACCAGCAACTTAATTCCTACCACTCTATCAGAACACTTACTCTCGTCAAATAATATAAATAATGAAATGTTATCTAAATGTGTTGAGCTTACAAGCCCAGAGACTCTTTTGCGATTGTGTATACAAATTATAAACAATGATAAAAAACCTAAATGTTTACTCATTAAAGAAACTAGTGAACATATTCAAAATACAATTACATATGTGAAAAACCAACCAGAAACATTACTTCGACTGTGCCTGGGTGTAGTGACGACTTCTATGGATGTTGACATCAAAAAACAATGTACTACACTCTCAAAAATCACTCCGCAACAAAAATTTAATGAATCTCAGAGTATTATTAGTGTCTTCAATCCCAAATCTCTCAAATTATTTGTTTTCGAGTATGTTAAACAATTATTTTTTGGAGAAATAAATGTTTGCTCTTTTGAAACTAATCAGTTTCAATTAAATCAACGTGATGATGGAACAATGATTGAAGGTTTAACTATAAATAGTGTGAATACACTATCGGAAGAGGCTTTCCTAAGTCTTGAAGAAGCTCAGGTAGATGACATTGCACCAGAATATTTAGAAGAGTTTGATGAAAATCATTATGATGATGATAATGACAACTACTCGGAAGCTATGCCTGAAGAAAACGAATCTGAACCTAATTGGGTATCTCAAGTGCAGATGCAAGAACTCAGATCTTGTACTGTTAATTGTGATGAAAATCAAGAAGATTTTTCGCCACTTATTGCTCAGATCAAAATTGAACCTTTGGATGAAGATTTGCCCGACAATGTTGACTCATTAAATCAAGTAAAAATTGAGCCTATTCATGCACCTGATGAAATGACAATGATACCTGAGGTAAAAATAGAGCATCTAGATGACTTGTGTCCTGACTCCATACTAAAAGACAACAATAAGAGTTATGATGTAGAGACATTTGAAAAATTTGTTTCTTCTAACAAAATTATATCTGGATTACATGATGATGTTTTCAGTCAAAGTGCTTTAAGAGTACACAGACGACATGAACCTGATTACGAAGAAGATGACATGAGTATGAGTCTACTCGTACCGCAGACATATGAACCATTAACTATAGAAACTGCTAAAGGAAGTTTAATGCAGAGTAGCTCTGAGGAAGATGATTCTAAAAATAAAAAGGTTGCTGGAAAGAAGAAAGCTGATAAAAAACCTAAGAGTAAACCGAAGAAACCTGATCCAAAAACTAACAAAGAATTACCTACAGTTTCAACTAAAGATAAACCAAGTAGTAATGAAGTTGCTAATTTAACCAAAAGACTGAGAGACAAAATAAGGCAAGAAGAGAAAAAGGATGACTCAACAGACTCTGAACCTGAAACTATACCTGTACGGTCAAGAAATAAGAAAGAACAAGAAAAGACCGAACATGCTCAGGCCAGTAAAGAGGATGAGATACAATGCAACAATGTGGATTCAACTGATCAAGTTGAGGAAACTGCCTCCAGCTTTATTGGTTTTTCAGCGATTGACCAGAACGAGATATCCACATACCACAAATATATGAAATTTGTGTATGACAAAATTTTACCAGAAAAAGAATCTGACAAACCTAAAACAGAAGATAAAACCAATAAAGTGAATAAGAATGACGAGACACCAGTAAATAAAACTGATGACACGCCATTGATTTCTAATGAGCCTATAGAACTTTTGGAGTGTGAGCCGTTGATGCCTCTGTTCGATGCGAGACTATGTGATAGAAAATATTCTAGAAAGAGCCAGGAAAAGGTAAATGCAAAAGAACAAACTAAAGTTGAACAAACATCTAAACAAGAAACTACCGCAAAGCAAGTAAAAATTCCTGAATTCATAGATCGTGGTTGGCACTGCTACCCGGTGAATAAGAATGATAAAAAACTATACCAGAGTACTTTTGTAGCTCTAGAAAAATTGCCAGAGTCATTTGTACAGACATATTTTGAGTATCAAGGCATAGCAACCAAAACTACTGAAGATGAGGAAATTAACAGGTGAGATTTTTTTACAAAACTTATTTTATTTACTTATAGGTTTTTTTTTTACAAAATATTGATTTCTTTTTACATTTTCAGGTTGACCAACCTAAACTCATTGAATAGAAGTGGTCAAAGTCAGAACCTTGGTAAAAATAAATTGAAACCTAAGCAAAAGGATGGGAAGACTGAGCATGTATCTGAAGCTGGCAGCAGATCGGAAAGTCCCACATACTCGGACCATAATGAGTTGGAGCCTTCCGATGATGATGGAGCTAACATTGAAGATGAACCTGCTCCACCTGTTGTAAGTTTTTCTCATTTTATTTTTTATTTATTTATATACTTTCTTAATACCACTAACGGAAGTGGGCTGTGAATATGACGTCATAAGTTACATAAAATAAATTTCGTAAATATTTTACAAAACTTCACAGTTCATCATGTGATATTTTGGTTTTGAAGAGTAATGTTTTGAATTCCATGTAATTAATAGAGAGCGAGGCCGTATTTCATGTTACGCTCCGTGGTACTATAGATATTTTTCATAAAAACAATACGACCCCAGAGGCCTGAGAGTAACGAGTACGCGTTCGGCGCTGTGCGGCCAATCAGAGTACCGAACGCGAACTCGTTTCGAATACTTTAAACGTAAATCAAACTCGTACTAAGGCCTCAGATTCGAGCAGGAGGTCTCTTCTTGGCCGTCATACTTGCAACCACTCTAACGAAGCATTCAAATCTTTTCTCTATTACATGCCCCTTTTTTTCTCAGGCTACAAGAAACACAGAGAACACTTTAGCAAAGAACCTATTAATGAATGACAATGAAAGTGATTCGGATGACGTCACTAAAAAAGTAAAGCAGGAGCCAGCAGAAGGACGTTATGAAACTAGACATAAAACTAGCAAGAAAAAAAAGGAGATTACTGTGGACAAAGAGGATTTAATGCTCACTGCTGATAAGATGATGAATAAAGAACTGACATTACTACATGCCCCTGTTGTAGTCGCTGATGATGTCAATAGTACACCCATTAAAGGCCCTGTCACGAGGAACAAACAGGTACCTAACGTATCTCATTAATTGTATCTACTGTATTGTGGATGTGTTTACAAGCACATAAACTCATACATATCACATTGAACTCTTGTCAACAATACGGTATTTTAGTCTATATGAGAATTTAAAACTATATTACAATGATTGTTTACAGGCAAAGCAATCGGGAAATGTTAGATTCACTTCATAAGGTACTTAAATATTTTTAGTGCAGTTTAAAGTTTTAATGTTTTTTATTTGTCTTTGAACACTACGAAATGTCGCGGCCATGCTAATGACGTCATTACGGTAGTAAACAAAAGTGTCAGGTGTCATTATACTAAGTAGGTATACTGTCAGCTGTAGTTTACTGAATGAATACGTAATGACGTCATGACTACAAAACAATGGCGTCCGCTGTTTGTCGCGTTTTCGCGAAATACGTGCGAAATTTGAAATTATGATAAAATAATTTATATTCGTACATAACGCGAGAAGGAAAATATTTAAAATTTTTTAGAGGCATAATGGCTATAGAATTTATTTTAGATACATTTTAAAAATGCATGTTTGCCTATTTGTGGATCACACAAAGAATTGTTGGGTACGGGAATCGGACCTGCGACTCGCTCGTTGTGCAGCAGTCACATTGATCCTATTATTTCACGCGTTTTCAGTAGTTTTAATTCTTGACAAGTTAATTTCTATATTGAGGTTCATTTCAAATCGTATGTATGACTCGCCAACACGTCAAGTAAACCAAAACTATTATGAAAATTCGTTATCTAATCAACCTTAATGTTTTTTGCAATAAGGCTGAAATTATCTTTAATATGTTCATTGTGCTTAACGCTTATTTATTTGTTTTACTTCAGAAAACCGCTATGAAATCTCAACCCGGCAGCAGCACTAAAACGAACAATGAAGAGGATTCCTCTTCTGAAGAGGAGAAGCAGTGGGTGTCGACGAAAGAGAAACTTCTCAAAAGAATGGGCAAGAAAGACCAAGCAAGGTATTGTAAACTAAACCTGTATTTAGAACCTAATTATATTAAAACACTGTGGTCGTTCGACAAGTTGCGCGACCGTGGTGGCCATGGTGTCTAACAGCGGAAATTATTATTTATAGCAAATAAACGAATAAATCTCAATTTAAAATCTTTGACATTAGTTGTACGGAGTTTCTACCAAAAAATATCACTTTACACACAAACAAACATTAATTTAACTTGGTCGCCGGCAACTATTTGGTTGCGCAACCATGTTGACACCACGTGACAGGTGGCCTGGTCGTATGACTATGGTGTCCTAATGATGTACGGCTCTTATCATTTAATTAGATTATGTAAATTATGAATTTATATAATAATACTATTTAGTATATAGATTAGTTTAAAACATAATGTTAGATTGTCGTAAATGTATTTCAATAAATAAATGTTACTTAAAACCGATGTTTTTTTTTTTCGTCAATAATTATTAGAAATATGTTTTTAGAATTATAACCCCTATTAGTTCGTGAAGTATTGGCATAATTTTATTATAGACTTACATAATATTTCGTTCGGTTATACATAAATCTTAGACGCATTTTGTTATTTTATTATTCATTCCAATATTATTACAGAGTTATACGGAATGATAACAAAAACATATTATGAATTTATTTAATTATGTGTATTTTGCTCAATAGTTATATCACAAATATAAAGTAAGTTTATGCTTATAATAAAAACGTCTACTTGTGAATTCTTTCCTTACGAAAACTTCCGACTACTAAATTTTTTACTGTTTAATGTCAAAAATAATTGGGTAGTTTCCAGGGTATCAAAATTAACAATCTAATTAGTCCGTCAGTTAGATAATGAAAAAATATAGACACGTATTTTTTTATTTTCTCGAATTAAGTTGCAATACTTAGAAAATGGGGCTAAGTTTAGGAGTGGGAGGTTGCTACGTCATAACGTGCTATAAAATGTGACACGCTGTGACGTCACACGATATTTCAAATTAATATATCGTCGAAAGTATTTAATTTTGTGAGAAAAGAAAAAATACGTGTCTAAAGTTTTAAATTAATGTACCAAACGGACATTAAAATGAAATTTAGGAAACTACTCTATTATACCGATAATATACAAAAAATATTAAAATGTTAAAAATAATTCCTTTAGCCTGGACGATGCTAAGCGAGCGAAGTTGGTAAGCGAATTCATTGAGCGACGCGGCGACCGTCCGGTCACACAATTACGACGGAGCGGTCGACCGCGACGCTCTGCCAAGAAGTTCTTGGAAAGAGAGAAGCAACTCGGGTATGTAACTTTGAACTCTAAATGTAGCATGTTAAGATTCAACTTACAAGGTTTATAAGACATGCTCTTATGTCAAAGCAGTAAAGGCTATTTTTGCGAATCTAACTCAGTGCGAGTTTTTCTTGATTTTCGTTTATTATATTTATATTTATTATATTTATTATTATTATATTGTGATCTTAAACATTTATTTTGTAGAATACTATCGAGGGAGTTATTTGGAGAATCAGCAGATGCGACTATGTCCAAACGATCTCAAGCAAGTGTATTCAAAGGACGTCGCAATATTAGAAAGGTATGATACAGTTTTATTTAATTAACTACCTACTTCCGCGCGATTTCACACGCTTTGCTCAGCTCATATTAGTCGTAGCGTGATGTTTTATAGCCTATAGCCATCCTCGATAAATGCGCTATCCAACACAAAAAGAATTATTAAAATCAGACTTGTAGTTACGGAGATTAGCGCGTTCAAACAAACAAATAAAAATAAAAAAACACTTTATATAATAGTATAAAAATACACTTGAAATAAATGTGTACACATACATATATCTAAAAGATGTAACAAAAAAAAATTCTGCATCGAAAAATGAACTTTGTGTGTATTGACATGAAGAGTTAATTTTGCTCACATGGTATATCGCTGGGGTAGCGAATAGAAGCAATAATTGAATATTTGAATTGTTTTTCCAGGTGATTGACAAAAAATCGTTAGCTCGTAGTACTGTGGTAGCTAACATGGAGGAATTCGAGAGAAAGAGAAGACTGAATGCTAAACAAACCAAATTGGTGAGCGTTTATGAATATTCCTATATTATCTATATTATTATTACTATGTATTGCTTATAATTTTTTACTTCACAGAAATTGATGTTCTGGGTAGGTATACTTTTTCCTACCGTATCTTGTCTTTATGCGATCATCAAAATATTTTTTTATTTTATCTTTTTTTTTTCAATATAAGATGAATAATCTTTACTGCAAATCCTCTGCGGCGTTGATTGCTTATTATCAAGCGACCCATCTACTCGTGTGTCGCCCTAACCATATAAAAATAACGTTAAATCTATTATTACTGCTTCATGTGTGTAAATGGTATATTATTTACAAGGCTTCGCCAGTTTAAAAAGCAACCACGAGATAAAAAGTAGCCCATGTGTTATTCTACACCAATATCTATCCTTGTTCTAAATGTCATCCCAATCTCTTCAGCCGTTTTGACGTGAAAGAGTAAAAAAAAACACACACACTGACACACACACACACACACACACACACACACACACACACACACACACATTCTCACAAACTTTCGCGAAATATAATATTCTAGGATAGGATAGTATACAATAGTAGGACTAGTTGGTTCATTTTTTAATATTTATTTCCTATTGACTTACAACAGAGGGAGCTGCTAGGCTGTGAGGAAGGTGTGAACGTGCTAGTCATTAACGACGAGGTGTGTCTGGAGTACGACTTCGAGGAGAACAGGCCTGTCGTCACCATTCACCCGTTCTTCACTAAAGTTATGAAGGCGCATCAGGTACGACTTTTTTTAAATATCTATCAAAATAATTTTATAGGCAGTTATCGTTGCAATACACATAATGTCGCTACCCTTATTATCAAGTAATTTAATGAATATCCATTTTAGTTAGTAATCTTCCGGTAGTAATAGTACAATAGAGACTAACTAAAAATCTCAGGTTTCTCACGTAAAAATACTCAGAAAAGCTCTACTAGTTTCGAACCACATAGGGGTTTTTCCTCATGAGCAGCGTGCGCGGTCGCGGGCATGACAATATGCTGCGCGTCATCGTTGTTATTAAGTATGTCTCACGATATAGTTATTATATAAACACAATAGAGGCTATTCATTTATATTAATTACACAATTTTATTTACA